AAACTTCTTATATTAGGACATCTATTAAGTGATCAAATCTAAATGATACTATCGTGAGATTTTTAGACCCAATTTATTTCGAGGCTTCTTGCTTAAAGAAAACCAGTAAGACGTTATACAATGAACTCAGCTGCAATAAGTGATTTTATTTTTAAAACTTTCCTCCTGAATCCTATACTTACAACTTTATACTTAGAGTTGCACAAACAAGCATTCTGTTTAGTCATCAGTGTCGAATTTATTTTAACATTAATATTTTTCTTTATGATAGTCAAAGAACTTGGTTAACAAATAGTGAAGAAGCTCAGATGTTTTATAAATATGTAGCGAAAAGTCTAAATCATTGGATAATAAAATGTCATAAGAAGTCTTCTGGTTTTCACATCGTAAATAATATGATTTAACGACAGTAGAATAATTAGAGCTATATTGTTTACACCGTAAGATACAGCTTATGTTAACTATCGTGAAATAAGTTTTGTTTCAGAGTAAATTCTGCAGGAAGAAACAACTATATTTCAAACAATATTTCACTTGATTTTTTTTTTACAATATTAGTCCCTAAGATAGCAGTATAGTGTCTAAATATATTTAGTCATGCTATTTACCCATCAAAAATACGAAATATTGTTATCAACATTTCTCCAATAAAAATATATAATCAACCAATTCCAGGTTAGGTTTTTTGGGGTACTGATTTATTACATTATATATTCTAGTTTGGTTATTTGTTCTTAAGCACAAAGCTACACAATTGGCTACCTGTTGTGCCCACTGCATGTATTGAAACTCGACTTAAAGCATTATAAGACTGTTAAGAGTCTCCGGGTGGGTCAGCGGTAGGTTTACGGACTTATAACACTAAAATCCAGGGTTCGATTCTCGAGATGGACAGACTGCACATACACTATTGTATAGCTTTGCACTAAAACAAAACACAACACAAACCGCTGAGTCCCCGGGAGTCTTGTTTTCTTGTTAATTTATTATTTACAATTCATTTAGTTATAAGTTACTTCTCTATCCTGATCTATATAATTACCTTACTTTTACTCAAATGTTATCAATAATATGATTCAAAACTTCTCTGATGTACGTTTTTAAACATCATGAGTACAAACTGTGATAGCTGTATCTCTGAATATAGTGACTACCAAAAATGGCATAAGTTAAATTCCTAAGATAAAACATTTTGATTCTTTTACCATATTTTGAATTCACAAAAAAAAGTAAAAAAATTGTGAAATATTCTATTGACGTTTAGCTAGGACTTAAAATCGGTTTAATTAAAATCTACTGTTGAGATAAGCGTCACACTTCGGACTCAGAACGAATGAGCTAAGTTACTTGAAGGATTCGCATGATTTTACACGGAGTCGTTTCTTGGTTGCTGCGATTCTGAAATCTGTGAGCCTGCGTCCTTCAATAAATATGATGATGTACTAGGATATTCGTGACCACTTCCAGAAGGCATTCTACCCAACTGGATGGTAATTTAAACGAAAAAAAACTCTTCTACTTCCAATCACAGGGATAGTCGACTTAAAAAGCGTACTTTCTTGGATATTTATAGCGCCTCAAGTTTTGATACAAAGGTTAAAATTCCTTTTAAATATCATTAACGATAAAAAGTGAAAGAGAAACAAGCGTCAAATATAAAAAAGGAGGGTCAAATATAAAATATCCTTGTATATTTTTTATTGCAGAGGTCTGAATTTGAAGAGCTAGCCAGCAACCTTAGTCAGGTTGGAGTGGACGATTATTCATCGTTTGATACAGAACATTGTGTTGCTTTCCTACAAGAAAGGTCCGTACTTGGAAAAAAAGGTAAATTGCGTTAAAATAATTGTTTTTGTATTTGAGATCAAAGCTACACAAGAGGCTATCTGGGCTGTGCCCACCACTGGTGTCGAAATCCAATTTTTAGCGTTATTATCGCTGAGCCACTGTGGGCTAAAATAATTGAACTTATGGTTAAGATTTTGGTAAAAGAAATAAAAACAGACATTTATACAGTGGTTTCGACAGATAAAAACTGCCTTCTTTTTGTTTCAGTTGATTTTTACGGTGACTGTTCTAACTGATACCATGAGCTTATCAGTATCAACAGTTCATCATACTTCTTTGTTTTAGTGATCAAAAGATAAATGATGCATTCAATTGTGGCAGAATATGATGATAAAATAATTGGTAAAAGAGTATTGGCCAGGTGGTTAGGGCGCTCGACTCGCAATCTGAGGATTGCGGGTTCGAATCCCCGTCCCACCAAACACGCTTGCCCTTTCAGCCGTGGGGGTGTTAAAATGTGACGGTCAGTCCCACTATTCGTTGATAAAAAATTAGCCCAAGAGTTGGTGGTGGGTGATGATGACTAGCTGCTTCCTTCTAGTCTTTCGCTGCCAAATTAAGGACAGTTAGCGCAGATGACCCTCGTGTAGCTTTGCGCGAAATTCATAGCAAATTAAAAGGGTATTAAAGATCTTATTTTCTGACGAAGCTTGTCCAGTTGATTTATGAAAATAGTCATGGTGTTACTGTTTTTTTAATTTTCTAATCATTTATTTTTGTGGTATTCTGAACAATTAAGTTAGCATATTCTATTTTTATATTATGCTTGCCATTTAATTTTAAAAATTAAATAATCTTTCTGTCAATGAGCTCAGGTTTTGAATTACGTGATGTAAGCGCCATCTATTAGTACGAGAACGACGAACACTCAATAATATTCTAGGTGTGGTTTTAACCAGGTCACCTGAGCGAGGCGTAGTGGTTATCATATAGGACTGGAAATACGAAAATCTCAAGTTCGAAATTTGATTCTACAAATGTATTTCGCACTTTAAGCTGTGAGTGCATTATAAAACCGACAGTCAATCAAACTATTCGGTTAAAAGATACCGCTATAGGTGACGAGTGCTTACAACTGGTAGTTTCTCTATAGTGCACAGTTTTAAGCTAGCGACGACTAAGCCTGAGTTATAGGGGGTTAGGAACTTGGTCAATTAACTCGTTTTGTGGGTAAGGTAACTAAACTATTAAAGTTTTATATGTGATAAGCGAAAGAAAGTGATATTTTCCTGGATTTAAAGGTTGCTAAGACAAATATATTATCACCACTATTATTATTTCATTTATTTTATGCAGAAAACCAATTAACTTCAGGTCAAATACTTAATATTAATACAAATATATATAGAATTATTTTAACAGAGACTTCTAATGATATTTTTATTAGTTACTAATATAAATTTCCGATCAGAGCAAGTTACGTACTTACAGCGAAACTAAAAATTAACCTGGTTATCATTATATCTTACAGTTCTCCTAATAAAGATTAAAATGCATTGTTTCCTCAGCAGTTGTACACTTGCTTGAACGACAATTTCGGCCGTAACACGAATTACTTCAAAACATAAACAGCTTTTCATAAGCACTGATACAAGTTTGACTTGCAGGAGTATCAGCCAGTGACTCAGACCACATAATCTTTTACCTATAGGTTTGATTATTGTTAAACTCAAAACTACACAATGGGCTATCTATGCTCTGCCCACCGCGGGTATCAAACCCCCATTTTTTGACGTTATAAACCCTCAGACTTACCGCTGAGCAGCCTGGAGGCTTGCCCGTAGGTGTTAATATCAAAAGCTGTAACGTGCTCAATAAATACGCATATCTTCACCAAAAAACAGAAGGAGAGAATTATTAAGATCTTAAAACTTCATTTCTTTGATTCAGTTCTTTTGTCATTTTAACGTTATACCAGACCAGATTTTTTTTATTTTCTTAAATTGTACTTTTTCAATTGAACACATCGCAGGAGAATCTTATTGCTATAAATCGCTTTTGGGTAACGTTTATAAACGACATAAATAAGGTTAAAAATTAAAATAACTTAAAATAAATGACCGAAGGAACTTTGCCAGGTAACAGATCTAAAAACATTATTTGCGGGTTCTGAAAAACCAAATAAAAAGGTTTGAAAAGCATTTGGAAGTGGAGTACCATACTACTCCCGAAACTGTTGGTATTTAGTTCTGCAAGTGGAGTACCATACTACTCCCGAAACTGTTGTTATTTAGTTCTGCAAGTGGAGTACCATACTAC